ACTGCTTCAATGCCCAATATGCTTTATGCTCAAACTCAACAGATAGGAGGCAAGCTTTCCCGAAAACTATTCGGTATGACGACATTCCAATTGAGGTCCTGTAAGCGGTGGGATAGGCCACAAAGCATCGTCCAATTTTTCTGACCAATCTTTTCGAGATGCATTAACTGTGAGTTCCAAAATTCTCTTTAGCTGTCTGTTAGAAGTTTCAACCTGCCCACTTGTTTAAAGGTGATAGGGTGTAGCTATTCGATGTTGACCTCGTATTTAGTAAGAACCGCCTGAAATAACCTATTGCAGAAGTAAGTTCTACCATCACTTATGATGGCTCTTGGAGATCCATAGCTGTAGACAATATTTTTCTTTATAAAATCTACAACTACCCTCACATCATTGGTGGGTAATGCCTTCGCTTCAACCCATTTGAAGAAGTATTCCACGACCACTAGGATATATTGATTGTTATAGGACAACGAAAAATGTCCCATAAAATCAATTCCCCATACATCAAATAGTTCCACCTTCAAATATTGTTTAGTGGCATCTCGTGATGGGTCAATATGTTACATGTTCTTTGACACTTATTACAAGACCTGCAAAAATTGTGGCAGACCTTAAATAATGTTAGCAAAAAGAAATCGCTTTGAAGCACCTTTGCTGCTGTTTTAGTTGGGCCAAAATGTCCTCTATAAGCTGAACATGAACCTGTGAAAGGATCAATTTTATCTCATCTGCTGGCACACATCTCTTGATAATCTGGTGTGCCTCTCTTCTGTATAAATTTGGGTGATCCCAATAATAGAATTTTGCTTCATGAAGAAGTTTCTTCTTCTATTGATAGGTGAAATTAGGATCCACATACCCACTCGCTAAGTAGTTAACAATGTCCGCGTACCAAGGAACCTTTACCAATTGCAATAATTGCTTATCAAGAAAAACTTCATTGATATCCATATCATCTAATTCTTTCAACTTCTCTGGCCTCAATAAGTGATCCTCTAACTGGTTTTCTGTCCCATTTTATCACGAATTTCAATGTCGAACTCTTGCAATAACAGAACCCATCGAATTAACCTGGGTTTAGCATCTTTCTTCTCGAATAAATACTTCAAAGTTGCATGGTCTATATAAACTATTACCTTTGAACCAATTAGATAAGAACATAATTTGTCAAAGGTAAATACCACTGCTAGAAATTCCTTTTCAGTTGTTGCGTAGTTGATCTAAGCACATTTCAAAGTTTCGCAGTATAGTAGATGACTTGCAAGACCTTTCCCTCTCGTTGACCTAGCACCACTCCCACTGCGAAATCACTGGCATCACACATGAGCTCGAAAGGTAGTTCCCAATCTAGTGCCACTATAACGGGTATGGATGTTAACTTTTCTTTCAAAGTGTTAAAGGCATTTAAACACTCATCAGAAAAGATAAATGACACATCTTTCTCTAGTAGATTGCACATAGGTTTTATAATATTTGAGAATCCTGGATGAATTGTCTGTAAAAACCTGCATGCCCCAAAAAGTTTCAAATCCCTTTGACTGAGGTAGGTTGCTGCAAATTTTCAATCACCTGTATCTTTGCTTTGTTGACCTCAATACCATGCATTGTGAAGAAATCCGATGTCTCAACACTATCCACTCTTTCACCATAAAGTGACACTTCCCCAATTGAGCACTAGATTCTTCACCTCACACCTTCGTATTACGAGCGATAAACGTTCTAAGCAGTCATCAAATGAATCTCCAAATACCGAAAAGTCATCAATGAATACCTCGATATACTTTTCCACCATGTCAAAGAATATGACCATCATGCAACGCTGAAAGGTCGCAGGTACGTTTCACAGACC